TGATTTTAAGTCCTTTGGGTATATACTGAGGAGTAGGATGGCTGAGTCAAATGGTGGTTCCATTCCAAGTTGTCTTAGGAATCTCCATACTGCTTTCCAGAGTGCTTGCACCAATTTGCAGTCCTACCACCAACGTGTAAGTGAACCTTTTTCCTCACATCCTTGCCAACATTTATTGTTGCTTGTGTTCTTGATAATTTGCCATTCTTATTGGAGTGAGATGAAATTTTAGTTTTGAATTTAATTTCTCTAATTGCTGGAGATGTTGAACATTTTTTCATGTTTGTTTATTGATGTTCTGAGCTACTTTCCTTGACCACACTCTTCTGCCATGGTGTTCTGCCTCACCTCAGATGGGAAGCAATGGAGCCAGCCATCTATGGACTGAGGCCTCTGAAACCATGAGCCCCCAAATAAGCTTTTCTTCTTCTACAATTATTATTCTCAGGTCTTTTGGTTACAGCAATGAAAAAGCCAGCTAAAACAATGGATTACCTGTAACGTATCTTTGTTCATTTAAAAAATCGATATGCTTATTTTTATCTTATTAATTTTCTGGATATTAATATCTTAGCTGGTAACTTGTATTCCTACTTTTGTTGTTGTTGTTTGTTTTTATTTTGCCTTTAACTTTTATGATATTGTGGTATAGTTTTCATGGAATTTTTCTTTGTAATTTCTATCTCTATTGTCATATTTACATTTTGTAAAATATATAAGGCTAAATTTACATTTTGTCAAATATCCTGATCAATTTGTATTGAGAAAATCATTATTTTTTAAAGCAGAGACAGAGTGTGGGAAACTTTGGTTTGAGTGGACTGAGCTTTGTCATGATGATGGGAAACAGCAGACACATTTCAAGATAGATAGCTGTAAATTACAGCCTCTCCAGCATTACACAAGGGGTTTAATGTTTCAGAGAATCTCAAAATGGAAATGAACTGGCTGAACATACAATGATAAGTTCTTAGGCCAAAAAAAAAAAAAGAACAAATGGGTGAGTTGGAAACGTGTACGTGTGAGCCCCTGAGCTAGAGATAAGCTTTAGAGGGTCCCAGGATAAGAGCTGTTCTTGTGAAGTC